ATAAGAAATATACATTCGATTGTTAGAATCATTATGAAAGAATCAAAGATAAGGATGGAAAAGCATATCAAGTGAAGTACATTCATTGTGGATTTGTGTTTAAGAAAAAAAAAAAGAACATGTTAAACTCTAGAACCGATTCTGGAACATGTGACAGGGTAGGTTCCAGGTTTCACATTTCGACGGGTAGGTTTCAAGTTCCAAAAAATGAGGAACCTATATCCGAGGGTTGGTTCCAGGTTCCAGGCGAAATCTGTAAGAAACTTGGAACTGTTCACCCCTAATGGTTGCACTCACACAATTAATGATTCAGATGATATTCATCTACATTGTCTATAGTAGGAATGTGCACAAGCTACGCTTTTCTGAAAATTGAAGCCTGGCCTGAACATATCGGGCCTGCTCATTCTGGGCTGACACTCTAGCCTAGACTGTAACAAAACATTTTGGCTCGAACTAAACTAGACGAGGGCCTATTCGGTTTGGTCTTGGCCAAGTCCAAAAATCTGTTGTGAAGCTTGCCAAATCTACTATTCATAGCAATTGAAATTGAGCCTTAGCTAAGTCTTTTTTCTTTAACTAAGGGTCCGTTTGTTATTGCGAAAAATGATTAATTTAGAAAATATTTTCCTAAAAATAATCATTCGTATCGCTTGAAATAATTAGTCAATAGAAAATGTTTTCACTATTGTCAACAATTTATGACTAATTATTTTCATAAACGATGAAAATATTTTTCGTTCAATCATTTTTGTAAATGATACAATCAATCATTTTTTTAGAAAATATTTTTCAAATCATTCATTTTTTGCAAAAATAAACAAAGCATAACTTATTTTAATAGAAATAAAGTCAATGTCCTGGTCTTTGGTGCCCCGTAGTGATGACCCTAGGATGTCGTCAATTGCCTCTATGTAATTATAATATGACTTTTTCGAACGATCACCTTCTGTGGCCGTCACTAATATCACACTTCTTATCTAATGTTCATTTTGAGTGATAATTATTCTACCTTGTCTGTGACCTAAAAATCATCGAGATGCTAACAGTTAAAAAATTTCTCCACACGAGATACGTTGCAATTAAGCACCACGAGCAGTTCGAAGATTTATTCATGATCGAAGTCGAACTCATGATTTAGGGAAAGACAACCGACCTCTTTATCACTAGGTCAAATACTTTAGTGGTAGATCGTGTAAGATAACTTTAAAACTCCTCACACATAGAAATTATTATGAAGAAGAGATACCAAAGAGTTGAAAATAGGTAAACAAAGAAAGTGAAATGTATATGGAACTCGAGAAGGAAACCACGTTTGGCTTTCACGATAATTTCAAACTCCGAATTCTTAAGTATTAGCTAGGTAGAATTATTGTCCTTCATAAATTTTTTCTTCTCATCACATCAAATTGGTGATGGGACACCATACACATGTTTTCGTCCCTTCATTTCATTGATCATATAAAATTGCCAATCCAAATCTTATCACAATAGAAGAAATTTCTCATTTTTTTTATTTAGTAGGATGAAAAGATATATATTATAGGGAATTTAGTAGTTCATTTTTAGTGAAAATTAATTTTGTACTCTTAAAGTTCTGGAGCGAATGGCACCTGTGAAAGTACCTTTCTCTATGGTTGATGGAGACTAAGCACCATTTCGAAAAAAAATTCATGGGATAAGTTCACATGCTATCATGACGTGAGATGAGATCCATTTTATTTCATATTATAGGGACAAAATATCTATCTTCTCCGAGATTCGAAAAGCTCGTGAAGTTATTGAGTGGTTTTGTTTATAAGTTTATCATCAGTCTACCTACTTTAATGCCCCAATCCGCTTAAAAAGCTCAGTCTAAAAAAACAAAAACTTAAAAAGCACCAATCTTTAGGTCGGACTTCACCTTTTTTAAATTCGTGAGAAATCACCAAGTAGAACTTTTTATTGAAATTTGGCTCCCGTTAACTCTCTATCCAATGTTGCCATTTAAAGTCAATGTGTCGATTCCATATGCACATTTTTCTCTCCCTCAACGTGTCATTGATGACATGAAATTTCAGCTCAATTAAATATTTTTGAAAGAAAAACCTTATTTTCTCTTTCCTTAGTTCTTTTTCTTCTTGTTCGTGCCTTGCAACCTCTATTAACGGAGGTGCTCGAGCTCAAATCAGGGTTGTGCGACCCGGAGTTGAGACGCGCGACCTCCGAGTTGAGTCGCATGACCCCAAATGTGAGGTCACGCGCCTCAATCGCAGGTGGCAACCTTCATTAATGGTGATTGATCACAGGGCACAGAGTGAAGGAAATGATTTGCGCCTTCTCAGCAACGGTGGTTCTAGGGAAAGCTTGGGCTTGTTTCATCTTCGTCTAGGAGCAGAATGGGTTTATAAAGCTTCGAGGATGGCTGAGCGAAGAAAGTGGCCGATAAAAATGGCTTCTTGAAGCTTAAAAAACTGGAATAGAAAATTAGGGTCTCGATTGAGCTCGTCGGAGATTATTTTGACTATTGCCAACCATCGCGAAGGGGTTGTCAAAGGTCGTGGCACGGCATCGAAGGTCTCAGTGGCAATGGGTGAGCGTCAGCGAAGCTATGGCCGAGAAAGTCTGTACGCAATCTAGGTTTGCGCAAAACGACGTACATGATCAATCATTTACCATGATGATTCATATGCTTCGATATCGTGTTAGAAAATTCAACCAAAAAGCTTAAGCCGATGCATGGAGGCAGATTACATGTAATTACGGAGAATATAAATCTCGTAAACATATGTTGTATATGTTGTAGGATACTTTAACACCCTGTATAAATAAATAATAAAAAAACGTTTTTTTAATTTAATTATCTTCCACGGCCGGTTGACCAAAATGAGGATCCCTTTTTTCTTTTTATAAAAAAAGAAAATCTTTCGATGGCCGGCTACCCACAATTATAATCTAGGAAAAATGGAGAGAGATTTACGAAGAATATTGTAATCTTGAACCAAGATGTGAAATGAGTCAATTAAACTTTAGCTTCTCACATGCATGCCAGATTAGGAATGGCATGTAGAATTTGATTAAGGGGGGCCGCACGTACGAAATAAATTGGGGCAAAACTTGGTTTTGATATCATGTTAAATAAGGTTGCAAGGAACGTCGAAGAGGAAAAGGAAGACAAGGAAATAGAAAAAAATAAGGTTTTTTTTTCTATCAAAGAAATATCGAATTGAGCTGAAATTTCATATCCCCAATGACACATGGAGGAAGAGAGACATGTACATGTGAAATTGACATGCGGACCTTTAATGGAAATATTGGATGAAAGCTCAAGGGACGTAAGATTTGAGTACGGGATGAGAGTTGATGATTTTTTTTAGAAACAAAGAGTTCGGACCAAAATGGAGATCCCATTTAGAGTTCATGCTTTTTAAGGGAACTGGACCATTTTTTTTTATAGCATACACTTGTGTTTATTCATTGGCTAGCCTCATATATTATGAAGGCAATGTCTTTTTTCTTTAATTAACTCTTTTCGGTGGGAATAAAATCATTGCCCTGGTCTTTAGTGCCTCATGGTGATGTCCTTAGGATGTCGTCAATTGCCTCTATGTAACTATAATATGACTTATTCAGATGATCACCGTATGTGGCCGTCACTAATCTCACACTTCTTATCTTATGTTTGTATTTAGCGAAAAGTATTCTGCCCTATCCGTGACCTGAACCCCACCAAGATGCGAGCAGTTGAACAGCCTCTCAACACAAGATGTGTTGTAATTAGGCACAACGAGCCGTTCAAAGATTTGTTCGCGATCTGAGTTGAACTCGTGATTTAGGGAAAGGCAACTAGCCTCTTTATCACTAGGCCAAACACCTAAGTGGTAGAACGTGTAAGATAACTTTGAAACAACTCCTCGCGGATGGAAATTGGATGAAGAAGAGATAGCAAAGAGTTGAGATTAGGAAAATAAAGAAAGTGAAATGTATGTGGAACACAGGGAGTAAAACGGCAATAGGCTTTAACGATAATTTCAAACTCCAAATAGGTGATGGGACACCATATATGTCTTTTCGTCCTTTCGTTTCATTGATTATATAAATTGCCAATCCTAATCTTATCACATTCTAGTAATAGATAATTCAATAGAAGAAATTTTTCATTTTTTAATTAGTAGGACGAGGAGATATATACTATAGGGACTTTAGTAGTTCATTTTTAGGGAAAATTAATTTTGTACTCCTAAAGTTCTGGAATGAACGGCACCTATGAAAGTACCTTTCTGTATGGTCGATGGAGTTCATAACTTTTTTTTTTTTTTTGCTAAATGATGGAGTTCATAACTTAGCACCATCTTTTTGTGAGAAAAAAAATTCATGAGATAAGTTCACGTGCTATCGTGATGCGAGACTCATTTTATTTTGTATTATAGGGACATTGTATCTATCTCCTCTGAGGTAGGAAAAGCTTGTGGAGTTATTGAGTGGTTTTGTTTATTAGTTTATTAGTCTACCTATTTTAATGCCCAATTCACTTAAAAAGCACCAACTTTCGATCCGATCCTAATTCTGCCTAGAACTTTTTTAATCGAATAAAAAATCACTAACTTTCACTTTTTATAGACTAGCCGCCCCAAGTTAACTCTCCATCCAATGTTGCCGTTAAAGGTCAATGTGTCAATTCAATATGCACATCTTTCTCTTCCTACACGCGTCATTGATGACGTGGAATTTCAACTCAATCAGATATCTTTTAAAGAAAAACCTCATTCTTTCTATGTCCTTATGTTCTTTTTCTTCTTCTTCCTTTTTTGCGACCTCCATTATGTTCTTTTTTTCTATTTCGTTGCTCGACCTCCATTGATTCTTCCACCTGCTCTAATAGAGAAATTCATTCTCAACTTCACAAAGATGTTCTCTTCACGGCCAATCCATCTGAAGAAGCAAAGACCAAACGAGTACTTAGAACAGAACTCGCGCAACCACATCTCAAAATCTCGACCGCTGTCCGTGAAGATACAAACGCGATATAAACTCGGGACACATTTTATTAGGGAAATATGATCCAGCGAAATACTTGCAGACATCTCACAATCAACTGCAGAGAATCAAGGACATCAGTCTAATGTCTGACCTCGTCGAACACACTCCAATACTATACTGCTAAAGGCTTGCATGTCTTAGCTCAACCTCTAGGAAAGAGAAATACCATCATTCATTAACAACCACGACTTTGGTCCTCAACCTTACGACTGTACAGATCGCCCATGATATCGAGGACATAAAGCTGTTTCAAGAAAAAAGCTATAACTTTCGCCAACCACCTCTGTATCAGTAGAAGAAATACTGATATCATAAGCGGCGTCACGTGCAGCAGAGTTGCGTTTGCCCCACCATGCGATGACGTGATCAGCAAGGATAACGTGAAGCAAAAGTAAGTTAGAACCATTGCGGTCAGGGATAGCATAAGCGGCTTCTTGAAGGGGAGATCTTTGGTGAGGCAAATGATCATCTGGACCGACACCAAGAATCCGAATGAGTTGCCGCCCAGGAAAAGGATGTACACCAGGCCCGCGCCATAAGTTACAGTGTCCTTGTTCCCCGATTCACTGGAAGTATTGTTCAAGGATATCCCGGAAGTATTGTTCATGGAATCCGCGGAATTTTTGTCGGCCTTGTCACGTTCTATAATGCTTGGAGGCTGAAGCACATATTGGTAGGTCGCGCTGGCAATGAGCGCGGCGACGACCAGCAGGGCATTGCGTATGTCGCCCCATGACTCTCCATCTTTGTTCGAATTTGTGACTGGCTCCCCATCTGATTGTTGACTGTTAGCTCCCTCGATATCCTTTTCGTCCACCGAGACTGGTCTTGAAGCGGGCGAGTTTGATCTTCCTCTTCGGTGTATGGCTCCAGCTCGTGCGAGAATTTCTCTGATCTCTCTATCTCCTGCTCCCCTTTGAGACAGAGTTGAGACATCTAGAGGCGTTGACCCACTGTCGTTCAAGGCGTTCACCTCCACAACCTCGGACTCCACAGCATGCCCACAAAGCAGGAAGTTAACCACCTGCAATTCTTTTCCATTTTCCGGACATTAAGATAATACGGAAAAACTGTAGGCATAGACGAGACAACCTTTATTCCAGTGATGATCAAAACAGACCCGATTCAATAATCTCAGATATTGAGATACTACAGAAATTTTTTTTGCATAGAACGAGACATCCTATATTCGCGTGATGATCAAATAAATTCCTTTGCATAGAAGATTTTAGCATATTGTGGGGATACCAAATTAGCACCCCCACTGAAATAATGTGCAAAGAAAAGTGCGATTAAAAAAGGGAACGACCTGACTTGCCTCGAAATTTTTTAGAGCCGTAGCGAGATGCAAGACGGTATTGCCTTTGTTATCCTTCCAATTGATCACCTGCTCCTTCTTGTGCTGCTTCAGATGCTCCACCAACACAACGACAGCATCAAACCGGTTGTTCTTCACGGCAAGGTGAAGCGCGGTCTCCTCTCGGGCGGTTGTCTCTTCGACAGACTCAGGTGAAGTGGATAGCAGTACCTTCATGACATTGAGCTCCCCGTTTACGACAGCACAATGCAAAGGGATTCTTCTCTCCCATCCCTTCACAGAGCACAGGTGTCGACCCACTGTCAAGAGCTCCTGCGTGATCTCAACGTCGCCTCGAGCTGCTGCGATGTGCAATGGACTGAAACCATCCGCGTTCACTTTCTCCGCGAACTTCGGCATCAACTTCAGGAGCTCTCGGACGAAATCCGAATGGCCGGCCACACAAGCGACATGCAGCAGTGTGTGACCTGCTCCTTTGAGAGCCATCTCCTCGAGGATGATGAGCCCATTGCTTCCAATCAAGTCGTTCAGCTCATCGACATTGCCCTTTTGAGCTGCTTCTAACATCCTTCGCTCCATTTGATCGCAACTAAAAATGGTCTCTCTCTAACATCCTTCGCTCCATTTTCCGAGTATCTAGAAGCTCATTGGTGAATGTGGAAATAAGACTAGCAACGGGAAAGTTCCATGCACATAACCACTTATGATGACCCAAACTATTCAATAAAATACTGACAATATGAAAGCACAGATCCAACCAGTAGGACTACGTATTAAAGGAAAACCAGCATTGGATTCGTGCGACATTGGTTTGTGGCCAAAGGTCATTTTTTCTTGCCGTAAAAGGGCTTTTTAAATACACCTAGAAAGCAGGAAAATCTCGAAAACCCTCCTCAAGCGGGGGCATTTTTCTCAAAGCACCTCCAAGATCGGCATTTACCTCAAAGTAAGCTTATCTATAATTGGTGATTTCGTCTCAATTGAACAACCCTCCCCCCTTCCCCCCATTTCTCACCAGCGACATAGATCTTCGCCGGACGGCGGCCGCGGGCGTGTCACATGCCATTATTCATGCCATGGACAGGGGCATTTTCGTCTGAAAAGAAAACCCCTCCGGGCCTCCCACTCCGTTTCCTCAGCCGTTCGCGCCACTCCCCGTCACCGGCTACATAATAGAAAATTCGGTAGAAGAAATTTCTCATTTTTTCTAATTAGTAAAATGAGGGAATCTACGTTATAGGGACTTTAGTAGTTCATTGTTAATGAAGGGTAATTTTATTGTCCCCGAGTTCTGGAAAGAACGGCACCTATGGAAGCGAAGTCGATCAATGCCGTGGTCATTGTAGACTAAAACTATTACGTCATAGTTATGAACCTAGGATGCCGTCACTTGCCTCCATGCCCATTATCCTATGACTTGATTTATGAAGTTCCATCTTGTCGGAAGCACCAGATTGAGGAGTCACTGCATACAAATTATTGAACTGCTTTGGGACCCCATGTCATAATCATGAGGAAAAAATTATCAAAAACAGTCCTCAATTTATAACGTGCCAATTCAATTATTAACTTTTTAATTATGTCAATTAAATCTTAAACCTTCTTGTATTTTGTCAATTGAGTCCCTCTGATCAATTTTGGCTAAAAATCGCTAATGTACTAGCATCCACGTGACACTACTAGGGCAAATGTAGATATTTTTTAATAATATATTTAAATATTTTAATAATTTTTTTCTTAACTTTTTTTTTTCTGGACTTAGGGCCGATGAGGGCAATCATCCCTAATTCTTTGCTTTACATTATTTAGGGTAGCAATAGGGCGTGTTTGTATTCATGTCGATGTCTATATCGTTTGATTTAGATTGCATGTCATTTTTATATGGGGCCATCGTTTTTATGTTCCCGTTAGCCAAATTGGAATATTATCACGTCTTTAGGGTCTTGTGCCCCTTTTTATCATTATGTTGCCCCTGGACTTTTCCAGGCCCGTTCATATTTATCACGGGTTGACCAGGAGGGTCAACTTTTGATCCTTGTTTTTCTTATGGATTATATTTCTGTCTTTTTTTCTCATTGAGATTCTGGGCGAATATCTTGTTTTGTGTAATCCTATACGCATCCAATTTAACCAATTTAGATTTCATATGTACGCGTGTGTGTTTTGTGTAATCCTCATTTTTATTTTGTTAACGTCACGGACTACAATGAAAACCTCAACATCTCAGAAAGGTTTAGATCATCTGCAGACTGACTGCAGACCTTGTACAGCAAGCCTCTTTAGGCCGCTGATCACATGGAATCCATGGTTGCACTCACACAATTAATGATTTAGATGATATTAGTCGACATTATCTATAATAGAAACGTACGCAGGTTACGCTTTTGTTAAGATTGAAGCCTGGCGCGAACTATCAGGCCTGCTCACTCTAGGCTAGCCCAGACTGTAACAAAACATTTCGGCTCGAACCAAACTAGACCGGGGGGGGCGGCGCCATTCGTTTTGGTCCTAGCCAAGTCCGAAAATCTGTTGCAAAGCTTGCAAAATTTACTACTCCATAGCATTTGAAATTAAGCCTTAGCAATGTCTTTTTTCTTCAAGTAAGGGTCCGTTTGTTTTGCGAAAAATGAATAATTTGGATAATATTTTTCAAAAAATGATCATTCGTATCACTTGAAATAATTAATCAATAGAAAATATTTTCACTTTCGTCAACAATTTATCTCTAATTATTTTCGTAATTGATGAAAATATTTTTCGTTTATTTATTTTTGTAAGCGATTCAAGCACTCATCTTTTAAAAATCATTCATTTTTAGTGAAATAAATAGAGCCTAACTTCTTTCAATAGAAATAAAGTCAATGTCCTAGTCTTTAGTGCCTCGTGGTGATGACCCTAGGATGTCGTCAATTGCCTCTATGTAATTATAATATGAATTTTTCGAACTACCACCTTCTGTGGTCGTCACTAATATCACACTTCTTATTTAATGTTCATATTGAGCTATAATTATTCTACCTTGTCTGTGACCTAAAAACCATTGAGACGCTAACAATTAGAAAATTTCTCCACACAAGATATATTGCAATTAAGTACCACGAGCAGTTCAAAGATTTGCTCACGATCTGAGTCGAAATCGTAATTTAGGGAAAGACAACTGACCTCTTTATCGCTAGGTCAAACACCTTAGTGGTATTCGACCAATTGAAAAAACATCCTAGTGGTAGATCGTATAAGATAACTTTAAAACTCCTCACGCATAGAAATTGGATGAAGAAGAGATACCAAAGAGTTGAAAATAGGTAAACAAAGAAAGTGGAATATATATAGAACTCAAGAAAAAAACGACGTTAGGCTTTCACAATAATTTCAAACTCCGAATTCTTAAGTATTACCTAGGTAGAATTATTGCCCTTCATAAAAATTTTCTTCTCATCACATCAAATTGGTGATGGAACACCATATATATCTTTTCGTCCCTTCGTTTCATTGATCATATAAAATTGCCAATCCTAATCTTATCACATTCCAGTAATAGATAATTCAATAGAAGAAATTTCTCATTTTTTTAATTAGTAGGATGAAAAGATATATTTTATAGGGACTTTAGTAGTTCATTTCTAGGGAAAATTAATTTTGCACTCCTAAAGTTCTGGAATGAATGGCACCTATGAACGTACCTTTCTCTATGGTTTTGATAGAGTTCATAACTAAGCACCATCTTTTCGTGAGAAAAAAAATTCATGAGATAATTTCACAGAAACAATAGTTAACCCTACCCTCAACCTCACGAATGCGGTGCGCCTTCTTCTTCAATCGGCGAGAGTGATTCCTTTCCTCCTCTCGCTTGCACGGCGCAGTCACACTCTCGACCGTCCGATCGACCTACTTCCGCCTCGGGCCGTCGATGGTCCCCCCCCTCTCTCTGGAGCTTCGTTCGTTTCCCTCCCTCTCTTGCCAGTCACCAATCAAAGGCAACAGATAAAACAGGAGGCGCCCGACAAGCTTCAACCTCTCTCTCTCTACAGATCTCTCTTTTCTCGCTCTAAAATCGTCTTGCGGTTTCGGTCACGACGGGGCATTATCCAGCCGGCGATTTTGGCGGTACGTGCGGTTTCGATTTTCTGCTTTAACGATGCTGCTCTGCTCCGGGATTCGATTCCTGGTTTCGTGTACGACGTTCTTGTTCTCTCTTTCATGGGATTGTTTTCGTTTTCCTCCATCCAGTCCGAGGGCTTCCGCAGGCTTGCCGACGGCAAGACCGTCGAGTTCCAGATTGAGTCTGATGGCAACCTCACCAAGGCCGTCGACGTGACCGGCCCCGGCAGCGCCGCGGTGCAGGAGAGCGACCGCAGGGCAAGGGAGCAGGGACGGGCTACGGTGGCTATCCTATGTCCCCCCTGTGAAGTAATATTTTAATTTGAAGTTAGAATTGCTTTGACAGAGAAAATCAAATTTAGGACCGGGCGGTATTTTGTATATTTTGTGAGGTAGAAACACGAGGCGATTACCCGTTTAAGCATTTTTTTTAGATAGAACTAGGATAATTTACTTCGCATCCACCGAAATTTGAAACCCGAAACCGATCCGAACCGACCCGGCCCGACTCGATCGTGCGACTATATCTTTGTTCGGGTCTTGTCTCGGGTCGGGCCAAGCACATGTATTCAATATTTTGGATCGGGTTGGATATCATAAAAAGCCAACTCGACCCATAAGTGGAATTTCAGCTCAATTAGATATTTTAAAAAGAAAAACCTTATTCTTTCTATTCTATCTCCTTGTGTTCTTTTTCTTCTTCTTCCTTAATTGCAACCTCCCTTATGTTCTTTCATCTATTTCCTTGCTCGACCTCCATTGATTCTTCCACCTGCTCTAACAGAGAAATTCATTCTCAACCTCACAAAGATGTTCTCTTCACGGCCAATCCATCTGAAGCAGCAAAGACCATATGAGCACTTAGAACAGAACCCACGCAACCCCATCTCAAAATCTCGACCGCTATCTGCGAAGTTACAAACGTGATAAAAACTCGGGACAAATTTTATTAGGGAAATATGATACGGTGCGTATTACTTGCAGACATCACACACTCAACTGCAGAGAATCAAGGACATCAATCTAATATCTGACCTCATCGAACAAACTCCAATACTATACTGCTAAAGGCTTGCATGTCTTAGCTCAGCCAGTCAACCACAAGGAAAGAGAAATACCATCATTAACAACCACGATTTTGTTCCTTACTCCTTTTTAGACTGTACATACCACCTAGGAGGTTAAATCGAAAAAGCAGTCCCAACAGAGGATCTATCGCTACCGCCAACCACTTCTGTATCAGTAGAAGAAAAACTGATATCACGAGCGGCGTCAGGAGCAGCAAACTAAAGTGTTCCAGGCCACCATTTAACTGGACCAGCAGGGATAGCGTGAAGGAAAAGTAAGTTAGAACCATTGCGATCAGGGATAGCATAAGCGGCAGCTTGACGGGGAGATCTTTGGTGAGGCAAATGAGCATCTGGACCGACACCAAGAACCCTAATGTGTTGCCGCCCACGAAGAGGCTGTACACCAGGACCCAATTAGCTGGACTCCCATATGACACGGGAGTAGTTCCTTCGGCATTGTCAACTTTCATGATGCTTGGAGGCTGAAGCACGGATTGATAGGTAGTGCTTGCGATGAGCGCGGCGACAACCAGCAGGGCGTTGCGTATGTCGCCCAAGGACTCTCTATCTTTGTTCAAATCTTTCAATTGCAAATGTGATGATGATGGAGGAGCATTTGTGACTGGTTCCCTATCTGATTGTTGACTGTTAGCTCCCTCGATGTCATCGTCGTCCGCGGCCGAGACTGGTCTGGAAGCGGGCGAGTTTGATCTTCCTCTTCCGTGCTTGGCTCCAGCTCGTGCGAGAATATCTCTGATCTCTCTATCTCCTGCTCCCCTTTGCGAGAGAGCTGAGACATCTAGAGGCGTCGAGCCACTCTCGTTCGAGGCGTTCACTTCCACGACCTCGTACTCCAGAGCAAGCCCACGAAGCATGCAGTCAACCACCTGCAACTCTTTTCCCATCTTTGTTATTCTCATTGATTTTTAGAAGCTAAGCGACCTTAGTTTTACGGAAAATACGACGTTTGTGAAAAATATTTTTCAGAAAGTTATTTTTCAGAAAAATAATAATATTTTTCGATGTTCAGCGGAGACCTGAAAATGAATTGGATAATATTTTTCATTGTTCGATATGGAAAATCTGATTTAATTTTGCTCCCTACACTCCTTTTAATAATTTTTTTTATTTTTTTAAAATTGAATTTTTAATTATTTTTTATTTTTGAATTTTTTATATTTGTTTTCTTTTCTTTTTTATTCTTTTATTTCTTCCTCTGCCTATCACCGACCACGGCGACGACCGGCCACCGGCCATAGGCTAGCCTCACCAGCCTCACTCGAGGTCGGCGAGGCAACGCTCGAGCTTGCTAGCCTGGCATGAGGCCGAGCTCGAGCCTCGCTATCCTGGCCTCGAGCTCGGCCTCATCGACCTCGAGCAAGGTCGAGCCTCACCAGATCTAGCGAGGCGACGCTCAAGCTCGTCAGCCTCGAGCTCAGCCTCGCCTTGCCTCGCCAGATCCGACGAGGCCTCGCTCGAGGCCGACGAGCAAGGCTGAGCCTCGCTCGTGGCTGGTCGCCGGCAGAGGAAAAAAGAAGAAGAAAAGATTAAAATTTGAATTTATTTAAAAAAAATATAAAAGAAAAATAAAAGTAAAAGTAAAATGTGTTTTGTGAAAAAAAGCAAGGAGAAAGAAAACATGAAAGAGGAAAACATTTTTCTCACTTTTGAAGGTGTTTTTGTCATCGGCGAAAAATGTTTTCCATGACTAATTTATTATCCGTGAAACGAACGCCGAAAAATCCGAAAAACCTTTTTTTGGAATTTGTTTTCCGTAAGACGAATGGAGTTTAAAATACTATTAATTTTTATTTATTTTTTTTGCATAGACGAGACCATCCTGTATTCCCGTGATGATCAAATAAATTCCTTTGCTTGGAAGAATTTTGCGTACTCTAGGGACAAAGAAAAGTGCCACAAAATAAGGCAACGGCGGGACTTGCCTCGAAATTTTTCCCGGCGGCAGCGAGATGCAAGGCCGTGTTGCCTTTGTGTTCCTTCCAATTGATCACCTGCTCCTTCTTGTTCTGCTTCAGATGCTCCACCAACACAACGACCGCGTCAAACCGGTTGTTCTTCACGGCGAGGTGAAGCGCGGTCTCCTCTCGGGCGGTTGTCTCTTCGATGGATTCGGGCGAAGCGGAGAGCAGTAACTTCATGACATGGAGCTCCCCGTTCACGACGGCATAATGCAGAGGGATTCTTCTCTCCCGTCCCTTCACAGAGCACAGGTGTCGACCCACTGTCAAGAGCTCCCTCGCGATCTCAACATCACCTCGAGCTGCCGCGATATGCAACGGACTGAAGCCATCCGCGTTCACTTTTTCGGCGAACCTCGGCATCAACTTCAGGAGCTCTCGGACGAAATCCAAATGGCCGGCCAGACAAGCGACGTGCAGCGGCGTGTGACCGGCTCCTTCGAGAGCTATCCCCTCGAGGATGAGCCTATTGCTTCTGATCAAGTCATTCAGCTCTTCGATATTGCCCTTTTGAGCTGCTTCTAGCAACCTTCGCTCCATTTGATCGGATCTAGTAATGGTCTTTCTCTTCTTGGGACACCTTTGGACTTGAAATTATGTTAAATTATCGATCCATTTTATAGAGTTTCCACACGACTTCTTCCCTCTTGCACCGCCGCCACCACCACCACCACCAACCCACACCAACTTCTTACTTCTTCCCACTCATCACAACTTCTTCCTTCTTCCCACCCACCCACCCACCACGACTTCTTCCCTCATTGAGCTACCATTACACCATCAAATCCGACTCCAAGACAAACAATAAAAAAACCAGAGTCCATGACCGAGGCACTCGGCAAAAACAGAGAGAGGTGTACCTGGCTGCAGTGGCAACCGGCGCGAAGAGAGCCTCGCGATGGACCGGTGGTCAACGGAAAGAAAAAAGAAGAGAATTTGAGAATACAGAGAAAATAAAGACCTAGCGTGTTTTAGCTCTTTTTCTTCCACCTTTACTTTTCTCTTTTTTTATTTTTTTTATAAATTTACATTTTGACCCTTAATATTTTGAAAATTTATAAAATTGACCCTGGGAGATTCCGGACTCATGTGTTGGAGGCGTGTCCAGCACGTTAGCCGTGTGTCGGAAATCCGACACCTGTGTGACCGCATGTCGATGTCTATGCTACATAGCTTGTGACAACTCAACTATTCAATAAAATTCTTTTGGGCCAACATGTCGGTGCTACATAGCTTGTGATAACCTAACTATTCAATAAAATTCTTTTGATCTTGGCCCATTGTTGTTCCATTTGCCGAGGATCCCCACATATCTTTACATGTCAAAATAAAAATACTGACAATATGAAGCACAGAGTAGGACTACGTATTAAAGGAAAACTAGCATTGGATTCATGCAACATTTGTTTGCGGCCAAAGGTTTGTTTTCTGGTCATAAAATGGCTTTTTAAATACATCAGAAATTAAAAAGCGAGAAAATCTCGAAAACCCTCCTTAAGAGGGGCATTTTTCTCAAAGCACCTCCAAGATCGGTGTTTGCCTCGAAGTAAGCTTTGTAATTGGTGATTTCGTCTCAATTGAACCCTCCCAATCTCACCGGTGACACAGGTCTTCGCCGGATAACGATCGCGTGCGTGCCACGTGCCATTATTCGCGCCATGGACAGGGGCATTTGTTGTTCAAAAAGAAAACACCTCCGGGCCTCCTGCTCCGCTTCCTTAGCCATCCGCGCCACTCCCTGTCACCGGCTACACGATAGAAAATTCGGTAGAAGAAATTTCCCATTCTTTTTCTTAGCATAATGAGGAAAAATACATTATAGATACTTTAGTAGTTATTTTATCGTATGTTAGTGAAAGTACTTTTTTATATCGTTTTGTTTTGTCTTGAGAGGGCAGAGTATCTCTCCCTTCTGTCGATGGAAGTCAATGTCATGGTCTTTGTAGACTATAACTATTACATCGTAGTCGTAACTACTCCACGTTTGAAGAAGTCATATGATAATGACATGGAAGCAATTGACGTCATCCTAGGGTCATGACTATAATGTAATAGCCATACGACTTCTTCAATGATTGAAGAGTCACTGTATACCTGGTACAGCAAGCCCATTTAGGCCGTCTGATCGTATAAAATCCACGGTAGCATCCACACAATTAATGATTTAAATGATATTCGTCTACGTTATTTGTAGTAGAGATGTTACGCTTTTGTTAAAATTGAAGGGGAAAATTATCAAAAAAGTCCTAAACCTTTTGCAGTTGTGCTAATTCAGTCCTAAACCTTTTTTTTTAGCTAATTCAGTTCTAAACATTTTGCAATCCAGCCAATTCAGTCCTTTTGGCCGGCCGGTGCTGACGTGGCGCCGGCCGGCCGGCGCCGGTTGACGTGGCACCGGCTGGCTGGCGCCGGCTGACATGGCGCCGATCGGCATCCACGTGGCAATATTTTAATATATATTTTAATTTTTTTTCCCCCCTGATCGGACCGGCTAGGGGAGGGCTCGCCGGCGAGGGGGCTAGGCGAGCTCGCCCAGCGGCAGCGAGGGGAGCTCGCCAAGCCATGGCGAGCTCCGCCCTCACCATGGCTGAGCGAGCTCCGCCCTCGCCCAGCCACCTCGCCGGCAAAAAAAAATTAAAAAATATATTAAAAAAGGGTCCAGAAGTAGCAACAATAGATTACAATCTACAACCTACTCGTAATAACAAAATATGTGCGAGCCACCTTAAACTTCGATACGAGATTGAATAATTCATATAAACATTGTCAGACGGTCATCTATTCAAAGGTCTGGCTACAATGGATTGAGGGAATGAGCCTAATTAGAATTTTTCTTTCCCCAGATCGATCCCTTAATGCATAGACATGTCGCAAGAAAATTGACCTATGCATTGCATGTATTTGCAGGCTATTCGAAAATACAAAACAGGGAGAGTACTAGGGATATGCTTACCTTAGCTATAGAAAGAGTTTTAGCAGAAAGATCACAGTTCAAAAGCATTACACCTTTCAAGCTACAAAAACCACACATGAAGCATCAGAACCAAGAAAATGAATCAGGAAATCTTCCAGGTTCAAGCCTAAAGAGTTGAGAGTATTCTGGAACTTGCCTCTGAACTGCCAATGCTATGGATGTACCATTTGGACAAGTGCAAAGATCAGTGACAGCATGACAGGGCTCTTCTTCTATTCTATCAGTAGCTGAAAGTTCTGCCTTCAGGAAGAAAGTAAATCCTTCTGTCAAACTGGGTGAAGAACCAAACAGAACAAAATTATAATGAAAGAAACAGCAGCTAGTTTGAACCACACCTAAGCATTCTTAGTCTTTTTGCTCTATTGTGAAAGTGCAAGCACATTTACTGATATAACTGAGACATAAGTTAACCTGAATACAGTTCTGTGGAAGTAGGTACTACATAGAATCTTTGAAGCATTATAAGTCTGACAAAAATCTTAGACGCATTCAAGTCAGTGATACCATCTTAACATTCAAAGAAGTGAGGAACCAATACCTTAGCTCCAATTTCACAAGTATCCAAGAGAGAACCCAATGTCACATCCCAAAGGCGAACCTACAAAGGAAAGATGCACTGAGTACTTATGCAAAACTAGACTCCATGTAAACCGGGGAAACTTCTCAGCTGCGTTCACTCACAGTGGAATCACCACTTCCTGAAACAAGAATCCCATGTGGATAATCTGGGGAACAAATGAAGTCAATAAAATCTTCTAAACAGCATACATGATTCGATGTTTAGTCCTGTCAAGGGCACATAAAAAGCCAAAGTCTTTTCAAAATTTCTATTAAAAACACCTGGCCTCGAACTTCAACGCATAGACACTTACTCAGAATGACCCAAGCAAAAAGTTTGTATCTCGTGAGCCCCATCCAATGGATTCTTGGGAACCACAGTAACCTGTTGCAATTACAAAATGATACAAGATTGGTATAAGAACAACCTAGAAGTTTAACTGATAGATAAGTAAATAGCCTTACACGAATTTTATAATCCCGATCAGCACTGACGATGAACCATCCATCTGGAGAAAATTCCTGCAACAGATCCTTCACTTAATAACACAACGACGAAGCATTTAAAAGCATACAGGTCATCATGACATCAAGTATGGATAGTCACGCCAAAAATTAGCAAATATTTAAGCATTACCAAAATCAATAAAAGAATTTAACATTTGAGTTCTCTTTCAAAAAATTAACAACAGTTTAAACTTTAGCTGGGTATGTTGGACACAGAGAAGGGGATAAAAGGGACACCTTGAAAAAAAAACCAACTTACCAAGCTAGTGATGATGCTGCAATAGTGAGCCAGCATTGGTGCTGCTTTTTTATCAGGCAAAGCCTGATTTTCAGCATCCTCCTTTAAACTCACAACGCAAACAACTCAAATTTATCAGCAAAACACACAAATAGGCCATCATTGCTTACTGCAACAGCACTTACTCTCTTCTCACAACACCTACAAAATTAGCAACCATGATGGAGCCATCAGTTTGACAAGAGTAAGAAATTCAGTAGAAGTTAGAAATGAAACTAATGGCAGAGTGCCAAAGGGGAAAAAAACAAAAAGAACAGTTTAACAAGCAGGCAGAAGGAATTTACCACTTCAGTCTCAAATTGAGTTCAAATGAAAATTAACAAATAGATATGTCTCACGAAAGAGTGCAAATGAGAGATTGGTCACACATCAAATGAACCTCCCATGTCATTTGCAAATTAAACTCATTCTATGAGCAGGAAATCATCAGTACTTTACATGAAAAAAATAAAGCAGAAAAAGATCGGCAATGACATGAGGGAAACATAACAGTTGAAATTCCTTTCCCATTTTTGTATAATTTCTCACGGATTGTCAATGAGTTAATACAAGACTCCTTCATGAGCAGACAACAACCAATAGACTCAATTTGTTTACATCTTTAAAGTGGATGTCAACATGCATTTTGCCTATCAAATCCTAACAATCACTCAGATTCTGCAAAACCACTTTTTTTTATCAAGGAAACTACTCTGGTTACCAGATTGATACAAGATTTGGATGATTTTCTCCCCATTCCTTCCAGATGGGTAAAGAAGCTATGAAACCAACCGGCAAAAAATCAACCTTTGACAGATATTCGCCTAAATGGGCATCAAAAACACATTCTTACTACATTAGAACAAAGAGCAAATTGAAGTCGTCGCATACGTAAGGCTTCACCTCGCTCCTGCTTGTCAAAACTCCACACCCCTTAAGCAGCAATCATGAACTCTTAACCAGAATTTTCACATATTTTCACGAGCAGCGGCACAGAGCACATGAATTTAAGAAGCAAATTGAAGAACACACGCATGTCCACACACGTACCGTGTTGGTCTTCGGCCTCAGATGCACGACGTCCCTCAAGAACTCGAGCGTGAGCTTAGTCTTCGGCAGCGGGTACTTGGCCGGGTCGACGGGGACGACGTGGACGACCTCCTCGACCCGGAGCTCAATCTTCTGCTTCGTCCCCTCGGGGGGACCTTGAGCACGCCCTCGAGGGCCACGCACGTGCCGGTCGGCACGAGCAGGCCGAGATCGGCCACGGCCGAGTCGACGATAGCCTGGAGGTTCATCGGGCACGAGCCGTCGTTCACCTCCAGGAAGGCGAAGGAGCCGCTCCCCTGCTTCCGGCCAGTCTTGACCGAGCGAACGCCGCACCTGGTGAGAGCGAGAAATGGAGCGAGAGGAAGCCGAACCGGTCGCGACCGAATCGTGGGGAGATGGAGTCTCCGACCACGTGAGCAGATCTGAAGTCGAAGTGTGAGGCTTCCTCACCGGCGTGCTCCTCTCCATTTTCTCCCTTTTCCCCAGAAAAAAAAAAGGAAGAACTCACGCGGAACACCTCCGCCAATTCGAGCCTCGCCCCGCTCTCGCTCCCCGCGAACGCGGCCCCGAAGAACGGGCTCCGCGCGGCGAGGACGCACCGGTGGACGGGGACCTCGCTGCCGTCGCCGGCGACGATCGCGGAGTCGGAGAAGGACGAGCCGGCGCCGGCGCGCGGGCGCTCGAAGATCGATTCAAGGCTATCGGAGAGCCTCCTCAGGGCCTCCGTTTCCAGCGGCGTCGCGTATGAGGAGGGAGCCTCCGTGCCGGTCGGCGTGGAGCACACGCCGCTGCTGTAGCTGGTTTCGTTCGAACCAGAGAGCCCCGAGTCCACCATGCCGCCACCCCCCGGCAAATGCTGCACGGAAGCCAAAGCGCTTCGAACGCGAGGACGATGCGGCGTTTCAAGAAGAACCCAAGTGGGAGTCGAGAGCCCCTTACACAAGGAAAGAGAGAGAGAGAGAGAGTTGTTGGACTGTAGAGAGAGAAGGAGAGAGCTAAGACGCCATTGTTTCCGGGGAGGGAGAGAGAGAAGGAGAGTCCACAGGGTGGTGGAGGAATCAGCAGAGAGAGAGAGAGAGAAAGTGGGGGTGAGGGCGGGCAACGCAAAATTAGCGACGAACAAAATAATCCGTCGCTAATTAGCGACAAATCACGTTCGGCGTAAATTTTTTTATTTTCAAAAATTTTTATGTGAAAGATCGTTGTTAAATTCGTTGCTAGTTAGCGATAAAAAAAATTCATCGCTGAATTACGTTTGGCGCAAAATTTTTTTATTTTTCTAAATTGTTTATATAAAATGTCGTCGCTAAATCCATCGCGGGATTTAGCGACGAATCACGTTCGTCGCAAATTTTTTTATTTTCAAAATTTTTTATGTGAAAGGTCGTCGCTAAATTCGTCGCTAGAATTACGTTCGTCGCAATTTTTTTTATTTTTCTAAATTGTTTATGTAAAATGTCATCGCTAAATCAGAGATGGAAAAAAATTCATCGTTAATTAGCGTAGCGACGAATTACGTTCGTCGCAATTTTTTTTTTATTTTTCGAAATTGTTTATGTAAAATGTCGTCTCTAAATCCATCGCTAATTAGCGACGAATTACGTTCGTCGCAAATTTTTTTATTTTTTGAAATTGTTTATGTAAAATGTTGTCTCTAAATCCGTCACTAATTGGCGACGAATTACATTTGTCGCAAAAAAATTTTATTTTTCGAAATTTTTTATGTAAAATGTCGTCTCTAAATCTGTTGCTAATTAGCGACGGAAAAAATCCGTCGCTAATTAGTGACGAATTATTTTCGTCGCAAAATTTTTTTATTTTCCTAAATTGTTTATGTAAAATGTTGTCGCTAATTAGCGACGAATTACGTTCATCGCAATTTTTTTTTAATTTTCTAAATTGTTTTTGTAAAATGTCGTCACTAATTAGCGACGAATTACGTTCGTCACAAAATTTTTTTATTTTCTAAATTGTTTATGTAAAATGTCGTCGCTAATTAGCGACGCAATTTTTTTTTATTTTCTAAATTGTTTATGTAAAATGTCGTTGCAAATTTTTTTTATTTTATATATTGTTTATTTGAAATTTCGTCTCTAATTCCGTCGTAAATTAGCGACGAATAATTTTTCGTCGCAAATTTTCCATGGCTAAATCCTTATTTTTTTGTAGTGTCTTATAATAGTAACTTAATACTTGCACTGATGATGAAGAGATTGCCTAATGCGACACAATGATTTTTCCTCTTTCTAATTCTAAAGGGGTTTTCACGTAAAAATTCACGTGTCTTTTTTCTTTGTTTCTTCACTATGATGTTTCTAATTCTAAGCATTTGATCCATTTAACTCGTTCATGACCCATTTATCGCAAGACAAATTTCTCGACCCATACCCGACCTGACTTATTTAACTAAATCTAGGAAAGCTTATTTCTAATAATTATTTTAAAAAATTGCATTGCTAAAACATTTTAATGCAATACAAATATAGTGAACAATTTTTATATATTTTTTTAAAAAAATTGAAGCTATGTTTGTTTCGTGAAAAATATGACATTTTTAGAAAATATTGTCGAAAAATGATAATGTTTTTTTGTAAATATTTTTTACTTTTAAAAAATAATATTTTAATTATTTTCTTTTCCTTTTTCCTTTTCTATTTTCTTTTCCTTTCTCCTTTTCTTTTTTTGTTTTTTCTTCTTCTCCACTGGTGGCCGGCCGTCACCGTGGCCAGCCACCGGTGAAGGAAGAAGAAAGAAAACGAAAAAGAAAAAGAAGAAGAAAAGGAAAAATAATATAATTTTTTTAAAAAAAAATTAAAATTAAAAAATCAGTAAAAAGAAGAAGACAATAACATGTTTATTATTCACTTAAGCTTGTTGGGTAACTCATTTGTGACCCATTTAATACCTATTAAGTTAATAGGCCTACCCATTAATGACCCATTTAAGTCTACTCTTGAACTAAAGCCAACCTATTAATAACCCACAGTCATTATATATGGGTTAATAAATGGGTTCTTGACCCATTTACCTCCTCTACACAATATAACTATATCAAACGAACCCTCTCATCATCTCTATTTTCAAGGATAGGAAGCTAGAAGGTAAAAATCCTCAATTCGGAATGGCTTAAGTTCAGCAGCTGACTCATCTCTCAATCATCTACAACAGGGAGCGAAAAAAAATTGGACTCTTCACCTCCAAAAAGTCCTCATCAAATTAACAAAAAGAAAAAGAAAAAGAAAAAAGCCAGAACAGAAGCTAAAATGTGTTGAACGTGGTTGAATTTCTTAAATATACTTGGCTAGCACAAACCCTCCAATTACAGTAAAGCATGCATGTCGTACCGCGACCAAACATTTTCCAGAACCTTGCTATTGTCCCGGCAATCACTTCTCATATAGCGACCCCATGACAAGGAAAGTACAAACTTGAACTATAACAGGTCCTCCATTATTCACTTAAAATAAACATCCTAGAAAACATCATCACAATTCACCTTCTTTTTTGTTCTAGGAGTAATTTTAATACGTCCCCCCCAAAGGAAAGTATAAAACTTGAACTATAACAAGTCCTCCAGTCCTCACTTCGAACCCCCCTCCCCCCACCAACCATGGCCAACTCTCCAGAGAACAGAAAGGAATTCTCCATGAGGGAATATATGAAGGGGCTGTTTAAGCACGACTCGCCAAAGCTTCCTCGTCATCATTGCCACCCTCATCGCAACCGTCACCTTCCAGGCTGGGGTCAGCCCCCACATCGGCCTCTGGCAAGAAAGCTCCGTTGGCCGCGTCCCCAGCCAGGCCATCTACGCCTTCCAGATGACACCATTATATGCGTTCCTGGTTTGCAACACGCTCACGCTCTCATTCTCCATCAACCTTATCATCCGTCTCACCTGGGGCATGCCGTTCTTTCTTGAGGTCTTGCTGGCCACCGTGTTGATGGCCATCACATATGGCTTAGCTGTCTTCGCTGTCGCTCCCTGGTTGCCCCGGTGGCTTATCATCATCAGCTTCGTGCCGTTCTTGCTAAGGTCTTTGATCAACATTGGCCAATATTGCATATTTAAATATTGTCGATGTGGGTTGTAAACATTTTATTTGGGATAATTGTTCAAAAAGTTTTAGACCTATTGTACAGCAGCCAATGCAGTCCTAAACCTTTCACTTGTGTCATTTAGTCTAAACCTTTTGATGATTTGTCAATTTACTCCTAAACATTTTGATAATTTTTCAATTTAGTCATAAACCTATTATTTGGACATTTGGCCGGAAGAACTACGTTGACAATTTGTCAAAATGTTTAGGACTAAATTGGCAAATTACGGAAACGTTTAGGACTAAATTGACACAATTAAAATGTTTATAATTGAATTGGCCTCAGTAGAATATGATTATGACTTTTTGGACAAATTTTCCCCTTATTTATTTGAGAATGGTTGAAATGGAGAGACAATTTGATAAATGTGTGCCAACAAACTTTCCACGTGAGCGATCTCCTGCTTGAGCTTGTATGAATTTAGAAGCTTATGCATTGTTCACTCAAATTCTACTTCTTGTTCTTCTGCGTTTTTGAATTGACTAAAATAATTAAGAATATCATTCAGATTTTGTACTCTAATTAGATGTTTCCTTATATATTTTATTATATTTTATTATATTGACAATATAATTTTTTAGCAGCTTCATAGGACACAACGGAAAGCACGTGCATGGTGAAAGTATTCTACATAATTAGATTTGTCACAAGCCTTGTTAATTTTAGTTTCTGGCCAATGTGGGTTAGCTCAACTAGGGGAAAGTGGTTTCCGGTCCGGTCCGATCCAACTCAAGAATCGGGAACCGGACCGGGAGGACCGGTTTTAGCCGGGGGCTCTTGAGACCCTGGGTGGTCCGATTCCAATGAGACAAATATTAAATATTATTTGTGAACCGGGAACTGATTGTTCCGCTCTTTCCTTTATAATTCTGATTTGATCCCATAAGGCCATGGAAAAAATTAGAAAAATATTTATAATATATGAAAAAATTGAACAATCGGTTCCAATGGGATCAATATTAAATATTTTTCATATGAAAAAATTAGAAAAATATATATATTTATCGGTCCGGTCCGGTTTGGTTCTCACCCTAGAACTGGGAACCGAACCGCCCGGAAACCGGTTCCACTTTTAGGAACCGGGAACCGGACCAATATCCTCGAGAACCGGACCAAACCGGTTGATCCAGTCCAGTCCCGATTTGGGCGGTCCATCCTGCTCACCGCTAGGCTCAACTGGTAAGATAACTCTCCACACATTATGCCCGGGTTCGAATTCATTTTTTTGGAATGACCAATTACCACGTCGACAGTCCCCTTTGGTAGGCGATCTGTAAATCCATTATAAGACATTTTAGGCGTGTGATATGCCCTAGCCTAGGCATGGGATAACCGCCCCTCCTCCTAAATTTTTTCATATAAAAAAAATTAGCTTCTGATTAAGAAGAAACCAACTGAATATAAATGATTATTAGGAGAAAGTCTCTTAAAGAACATTGGTTTGTTGAGTTAAGGATTTTAAAACTCAAGTAGAAGCATCAGTTTTACATGATGTATATATGTGATTCTGCCGTGGATGTTGTCAAGAGATTATTGCAATTGTGGTCTTAAGATGGCGGTGAGAAAAGTAATTTTCGATCATATGATTTACATGATGCATATATGTAGTATATGGATGACTTTATGTCTAGTCTAGAGATGATGGCAAGCAAATATAACGTATTCTAAAGGATTGGAACCTCAAAATTTATGGGGTAAACTTACATCTCAAATTATGGCAAACTTATCCCTTGAGAGTTTGTCTAACAGTTCTTCTTGCCCCCATCCCATCACACAAGCCCGGTGACCCTTGGGCCGCCGTTACCAGACCAAGTCTCTCTCTCTCTCTCTCTCTCTCTCTCTCTCTCTCTCTCTCTCTCTCTCTCTCTCTCTCTCTCTCTCTCTCTCTCTCTCTCTCTCTCTCTCTCTCTCTCTCTAAATGGCCA